ATCTCCTGATCACATCTACCTGGAGGAAATTAAGGCCACAGATAACTCCTGAAAATGCCCCCAAAACAGAAACAGATGAGCATATCAGCACATGTCCAGAAATGAGATGAAGTGACTGAGGCAAATGAGCTGAAAGTAGACCTACACTCCATACTGGAAGATGGGCAAGCTTTGGAAATGCCTGAGAAGGAATTCAGAAAAATGATTATAAGATGTATCAAAACACTACACAGTCGGGTTGAGAAAAATAAGAAAGAAGTCAGGAAAGTGCTACAGGAACAATCAAATAAAATAGATACAATAAATAAAATAAAATTGGAAATAATTAAAAACCTACAGAAAGAGGTCAAAATGATTAATAATAGAGTATCAGAAATGGACAATACACTGAAAGGGCAAAGGAGTAGAATCAAAGAGTTAAAAGTGAGAACCAGTAAGCTAGAAGATAAAGCTCTCAAAACTACTAAGATTTAAGAGCAAACACAAAAAAGGATTTAAAAAGTCTGAAGAAGGCCTAAATTCATGTTGGACAACATGAAGAGAAATAACTTAAGAATTATCAGCATTCCAGAACAGGAAGAATCACACAAGAGCTTCTAGAATAAAATTTCCCTAACATCCTGAAAAGTGAAAAGATAAGCATTCAAGAAGCTCAATGAACCCCAAGAAGGATAGACCCTAAAAACAATCACCAAAACATATAATAATCAAGCTTTCCAAAATCAATTATTAGAACAGAATCCTGAAAGCAGCTAGGGAAAAGAGAAGTGTAACATACAGATTAAGCTCAGATCTCTCAGAAGACACCATGCAGGCAAGAAGGCAATGGGGAGACATATATAAAACCCTAAAAGAAAAAAAATTGCCAATGAAGAATCCTTTATCCAGCAAACATGTCAATCAAATACGATGGTGTAATCAAAACATTCCAGGATAAGCAGAAGCTAAGGGATTTTGCCAAAGCCAACCCTGCACTGCAAAACATCCTAAAGGGAGTTTTGTGGACTGAGAACCAACAAGAATAGGCAACAACCAAAGAATTACGTACATGGCAGCAGCACCCTAAACTCAATTGACAAATGAAAGAGTCAAGAACATAGTATAAGAACAGATGATCTAGGAAGTCAGTCTATGATCAAAACAATTACAGTGTGAAAGAAGGTAAACACAGAGGAACAGAGACCCAGGTGTTGGGAAGGTCATGTAGATTACAGGCTAAAATAGACTGTCTTAAATGGAGGGAAGAGTTATTGGAATATAAGGTAACCACAACAGTGGGGTTGGGGTGGGGAGTTTAGTTCAGGTGTTGGGGAGGGCAATACCAGGAGGGGGAGAAGGCAGAAGAACAAGATAGATTGGGGAACACTGAGACAGGTTTGCATGGCCCAAGTAGGACAGAGATAAATAGTGATACATTCTCAACCTTGGAACAACAGGGTTCTGTAATACAGGGATCTAGGCATAGCTTGAAGAAGGGAAATAATACTATAATGCTTGACTGTCTTATGAATATTGGTTTCTCGTGCATACTATTGTAAAATAGACACTTGAGTGGGATAGAAAGAAATGTTAGGAAACATGATTACAGAAAACTTGTAAATCCATCTTCAGCCTATAACTGATTGGAATACATAAAAGTGGTTGTAAACTTGCCCAGTGAAATAGACCTCTTGCAAAGCCTTTGCAGAGTATAGGACATTAGGTGGAATCCTGAGTCCCATCCAGAACCTTATGAGATGGGACATCCCCACTAGCAAGGACAAGCAGACTAGCATGGAATAGCCAGAGTTACAGAAGATACCTCTTCAAAGAAAGATCATAAGAAAAAACCCAGAACAAAAATGTCAGCATGACTGGCTACTACAAGAATAAGCAAGCTGTTTGCCAGGAAGCCATCAAGGTAAGCAATCAAGTTCCTGCAGGACAAACTTCCCTCTCTGAAACTCAAAGGGAACACACACACAGGCATGTAAGCTTGCTGGCGACCACATTGATCTACTGGTGTGTGGAAGAGGGGGAAAGGCAGCAATGAAGAAATGGGCTGAGTTTAACCACAATCCATTGACTCCTGTTGACCTGGAAATGAGAGAGAGAAGAGGAAGGGCTGGTTGGTCCAAAGTATGGTGAGACTTGAAGACACTTGAGCCCATGGACAAGGACATAGCCACAGAGGGCTAGAGCTGAGAGTGAAGCATCTAGCTGATATGAAGTGAGGGGACATGCACAAAAACACTCAAGCTTGTAGACAGTACCCATTTGACCTAGCCTCAATGGCTTGATAATCAGAACTCGACTAGAGGAAGATTACCCCCCCCCCAATTTTTTTTTTTTAATAAAGGAAACAATGGTAAATTGCTACAATTTGATGAACCTGACCTATACTCATGGAGGTAGTAACTCTAATTACCAGCAGAGAGGGAAGGAGTCTTCACATCACGTATCAATGCGATCCCCTCTGTACACAGGGTAGATAGGGGGGCAACTTAGACATTGGCTACCTAAAATGAAGGTGCGATAAAGGCAGGAAGTGACTGGCTTACAAGGTTTCAATAGGGAGTATAGTTTAACCCAAACATAATTGAATTCTCCCCCAATACTTGACAGTCATACTTTTTACCTAGTTATATATATAAATGTTACTACCAATTTCATTAATTTGGCCTTTTCCTGGGTTAGCCTCTTGGGTCTGAAAACATGAATCTATAGGACAGGAAGTTTTCTATTTATATACACATATACACATGTATGACAGTGAGTCAAAAATTATTTGCACTTTGGCTGGAAATTTTATTTTACTCAAATTTTAGAAAAGACAAATAAATAATTTCTCAACATAATCTTGCTTTTTAATACACTTTGTCCATCTGTGAAAAAGATTTTGTATGCCCTTGTTTAAAAGTGTTTATAGAATGAGCTGTGAACCATGAATACGCCTCTATTTTCACTTCTTCAGCAGAGGTAAATCTTGGTCGTCGAAGGGCTGCTTTCAGGGGACCAAACAGGTGAAAGTCCAATACAGCAAGATCAGAACTACAGGGAGGATGCTTTAACATCTTAAAATGAAGTTTTTGTAGAGTGTCAACAAGTGTAGGCAGAGATGTGTGGATATTATCATGTAAGATCACAAAGTCCTTAGATAGCAGTCCTCTGCTTTAATCAGGAGTTTAGGCTTCAGCTCTTCAGTGAGCATCTCACTGTAGTAAGCACTGTTAATTGTTGAACATTTTCCCTGATAGTGTTCCAATACTGGCCCTTGAAAATCCCAGAAAACTATAAGCATCTATTTTACAGCTGATGGTTGACTTCTGAAATTTTTCTTGATTGGCCTTTGAGGACGTTTCCATTACATACTCTGCCATAGTGATGAATCCAGGTCTTATCACTAGTAACAATTTTTTAAAAGAAACTTTTACCTTCCTTTGAGTATAGGTCCAAATTTTGTTTGCAGATGTCCAAATGCTTCTGTTTATGGTCTTCTGTGAGTTGTTTCGGTATCCATCTCGTACAAACTTTTGAAACCCAGGCCTGTCGTGGATTATTTCATAAATTGAGCCATGGCTGACTTGCAAATGATTTGCTAGATAATCTACTGTTACTCGTCTATTTGACAAAATCATTTCAAGTGCCCACTCAATGTTGTCATCAGCCATGGGCGTGGATGGGCGTTTTAATATAACTGTAGTGCAGATTATATCTGACTCATCCTAGTATTTAAGACCACTCTCCCATTTCACTTCTCTGATTATTTCATGCTGTAAAAGAGAATGTAGTCTGTTGGGTAATTTTTAGTCATTTAAAATTATTCTCTGGCTCATGGTAGGCAAAAACTGCACTCTGCATTTCATTGTCCCATCATTTTTATCTTGTTGCTCCATACGACTGATTTCTTTTCCAGATATAAGGTGTCATCATAAGTCAAATCTGGCCTTTGCCATGCTGTTTTTATATGAGTTGTAGTCCCTAAACAGTTCTATATAAAGAAATAGTGATGGTGTTTGACTAATGATGGAGTTCTAGTATGGTGTTGTAGGATAAGCAGTGGACTGTTAACTGAAAAGCTGGTCATTCAAACCCACTAGCTGCTCCTCAGAAATCCTATACAGGGTGGCTATAAGTTGGAACTGACTGGATGGCACTTAACAACAGCATTGGTGGGTTTGGACTCTTGTATTTTTGGTGAATAGGTTTCTAGCCCTCCGATTGGTAAAAGTTAAGCAGCAAGGTGTGTAGGAAAATTAACAGAAGTTGAATAAGGCCTCTCCAGATAGCTTTACGTTTTGACAATTAAATTAAAAACAAAACAAAACAAAACAAAAAAAACACTTAGTGATTATAAACTCATAGAACCAGAGAGATGATGGGGCAATCTTAGCCCTAAATTTTCATTTTAGAGTTGAGGAAACTGTTTTTCATGAAATTGCTGGACTTGTCCAAGGTCACACAAGAAGGCTACACCTTAGGTGTCCCTGACTCAGCCAGTGCTTTTATCATGCTAGTTCTTTGCTGTTGCCAAAAGAAAATTTTTATTGACTAAATAATGACAATCCAGAGTTCATTATATTTAGAATTTTTATTGTGTGAAATATAAATAAAAATATATAAAATATTTGCCATTTCCACAAGTTTATAAATATAATTCAGTGTCATTAATTAGGTTCATCATGTTGTACACACATCACTACATTTCCAGATTTTTCCATCATCCTTAACAGATGCTCCAGTGATCCTTAAACCCCTAAGCATGACTTTCTATTTCTTAAACAGCAAGAAGCATTGGCTCATGTAGAAAAATAGAGAACGACAAGAACTCTCCATGAAAGGGCACTTAAGTTCCTCATTATTTAAACACTTTCAGGGAACAGCTCCCTCTATACCTACTTTCAACAGTTTTAAGTGAATAAATACTTAAGTCTGGATAGTTGTTCCTTTAATGAGTTGATTCTTTAAAACTTATTTTGTGACATTCCATGTTCTAATGTGGCTGCTCCTTGGTGTTTTAGCTGTTGGACGACTGTTCATCTCGTCTTAAAATGGTCCACCCAGCCAGAATGCTGTACACCCCAAATGGAGACTTGATTCAGTTGTGGGATGACGTAGAGCAAGACATGGTCGTCTGTGTGTCCACAGGACATGGCTTTGTAACCCAGAAAGGTATGGGTAAACAGTTCTTTTCCGTGCACTTTTTGAAGAATTGAAACAAAACTCTGAGACTTTCTTCCAAATAACCTACATGCTGAGTTTTATATTTCATTGTTTGTTGTTGTGATTAAGTGCCGCTGAGTAGGTCCTGACTCATAGCTACCCTGCGGAGCGACTGGTGGGCTTGAACTGTCAGCCTTTCAGTTAGCAGTCCAGTGCTGATCTGAAAGCACCACATGATATTTTAATAATTATCCTTCCCCCAACAATTTTCTTCTCCCATATGACTAAAGT